TCTTTCTTTCTTTCTTTCTTTTTTAAAGATTTTATTTATTTATTATGTATACAACATTCTGCTTCCATGTATATCTGCACATCAGAAGAGGGTACCAGATCTCATAACGGATGGTTGTGAGCCACCATGTGGTTGCTGGGAATTGAACTCATGACCACCTCTGGAAGAGCCAGTGCTCTTAACCTCTGAGCCATCTCTCCAGCCCCATAAGCAGTTTCTTTGATGCCCACCATCTCTGAAGTGAATTGGTGCTGCCAGGAGCAGATGTGTCTCCTTGTTGTGAAAAACCCTAAGTTAATAAAACATTTAAATACCATTTTCTATAGGTCTTTGAGGTGTTTGATGACTGCTTATCTATCTAAAATGTATCTCTGAATGATCTTGAAAACATGCCTAACATATCTACAAATCTGATTGTTATAGTTGACTAACTGCTAGCCTATGTTTCTTGATTATCCTAGTTTATAATAATAGCCTTCAAAAACTAGTATTTTTACCTTACATTTTTAAAAGAAATTGCATACGTACAATACCTTAAACAAGAGTAGGAACATATAAACAAGAGTAGGAACATATATACAGTGTAACAAAAATAACTTTAAATTTGTATTGACATATTATGTTCCCCTAAATGATAACATCCATAACCCACCAAATAACCAACAGCCTCCAAAACCCAGCTCTTGGGAATGTGGACATCATTTTCTCTAGACTGCTTCCTGTTGTCTGAGGGTAAACGAATCTTTAGGAGTTCCTGAGAAAATCTGAGATAATGGCCAAGTCCTGGGAAGACTAGCTATAAACTTTGTTGATAGATATCACCTGATATCTATCCATATTAAGTATCTGATCCATATTAACCGGGAAGGAATCCACAGCTTCTTGTTTCCTGAGGACACAAAAGCAAAACCATTTCTCCAAAGAAATGTATCTTTTAAGACTCATTTAACAAATACATTTTTTGACTTCCATTTTAAAATTAAGGAATTCTTAAAATATCTAGGCTGGTTTATTTCCACAGTTCCTCTTTTAATTCCAAGTCTCTTAGCAGCTGTCCTTTGCTTTTCTGCAATCAAAAAATTCAAAGTTAACACAGTACTATACAGGATCCAGACTCCCTGTGTATTTCCCATCCTACATGGCTTTTTTCATTTATATTACTTTTACTCTCTCTTTAAAGACTTTATTATTTTTAAACTATTTCCTTTTAGTTTATACCTATATATACCTAAACTATTTCCTTTTAGTTTATACTGGTTGTCTATACCTATATTCTTTGTTTCTTAAGCCTACATACATTGTAAAACACACTGGAACCTGTTTAGAGGGTTTTGTTTTGTTTTGTTTTCCATCTAGACCTCTTTTCCTGAGTATCTCTAGTCTTTTTTGACAGTGTGAACACACTTTCAAACTGCTAAACTACAGCTGAGTCCTCCACAATGCCCTATCAGCTGGCTCTGCCCACTTCTGGATTCCTGAGAGCCAAGCCTAAAGCTTGCAGCCTGCTGAGAGGTGTATTTGACCAGGAACTGCGTTCAAATATCCCTAGCTGTAGGAAGCCAGGCCTGCTTGGCCACAAGTGTTTTTTCACTTAGCTTGCCCTTCTGCTTAGCACTGCCGACTGAACAGCAGGGCCTCTTAAAGAAACCATGCACTTTTTCTTTCTCTCTTTTTTCTCAGCTTTCTCAAGCCCTACATGGAAATTCAGGCCTATGTTGGTATGCCAAATGTAGTTGGTTTGATTTTTATTCTTTGACTCTTTTGGGGACCTGCCACCCAGCTCCCAAATAAGTCACATGAAGACTTATTACTTATGAATGCCCGGCCTTAGCTTGGCTTATTTCTAGC